TTCCGGTTTGGTCATAAAGTTATGTCCTTCCTGAATCATATACATAGTAGATATGTAATTGTGACAGTAGAGAGACAAAACTGTGGTCAAGGTTCAAGAAGTGTAGTTTTTTAACGGCTATCCATTGTAGCTTTTATTTCTCTCGCACTCTTCAGGTTCACAATGCTTTTTCCTATCTTCTTCTGCCTTCTTGCTTGCTTACAATGGTGGAGCAAGCTATGGTGGCTCAGGATCATGCTCCCCTTGGAGAAGTTAATTTTTTAGTGCTCTCCCTTCCATTCTCAAAAGCGAGTTGTAAAAATCTGGCTTCAATGCTAGAAACTGCTATTTGTAACCTAGAATCTGTGTTAAGATTGTCTAGATTCTTGAGTCTTGATTCACCTTTCTATTGCACGTTTATGCTGGTGTAAGACTTTTATAAAAAAGCTTTCTTTCCAGTAAATCCACTCCTGCCAGCTCTATGTCTGGCAATTTGAATCAGCCCTGCAAACAATCCCCAATCTCTTGTAAATGTCATAGGAATATCATCAAAAAAAGATATTGACATTGAAGCCATTGCAACTATTATCCTACCATAGAGCCAACCTTGCTTGGTAAAACCAAAATGTTTATTATGGGAATCACAGCCCAGTTGGACTCAACTTGTTATTGCTATCGCACTAGCTCATCTCTTAGCTGCGCAGCTATAAGATGAGTTAGTGTGATAGTAATGCTCATATGTGCTAAAAAATGCTGATGTTCCTGCAAAGTGCCACGTAACAGAACATTATAACTTCTTACAGTCTGCCTTAAAAAACAGCTGATGCAAAAGAGAGGATGTCCGTCTACATGTGTGCTACTACTCTAGCACTCAACAGATCACTGCAATTTCTACATTGAAGCCCTGAATAAAAATTCAATCTGAGATAAACATATTGTAAGGAAGGCTGCTCCTGTATCCTTTCTCTTCATTGCTTCATTTGAATGCCAAGCCAAGGAGAACTAGCAGGTCCAATTCAGATGAAAGCTGTAAAAGAAAGATCAAGTGTGGCATGCAGTAGAAGGAATCCATCATACTAACCTGCAGTGCATTGGGCGTCATTGGTGAAGGAGATTGCATTGGATGAGATTTTTAATGCGTTCAGCTTGGTAACATAGCAAACATCACACCATATATATAAAAAGAGAATAGAGGACACCAGTGCTTATTTAGATATTACTCGCAACTTTCATGCTGGAGGTGTCTAGCACATTAGATGGAATATTTAGTTGCATCTCCCATAGCCGCGCTGGCAGCCCGCGCCACAGTACTCCGATGTCGATCCGCAGTAGCCAAACTGGCTGCAGCACAGGCCCGAGTTGCAGCGGCGTCCTCTACCCTGACGACCGCAACAGGGACCGCCTGTATCACATTGAGCTTCCACCACATTGGCGTGCTCCACCATTGCAACAACGAGCATGCACAAGAAGAAAGCAGCGAAAGCACGAAGGGACGCCATTGCAAACAGTAGCACTTTAACTATGGATAGAGCTGAGCAGTGTTTGATTGAATGGAGAGGCGGGGCGCATTTATATAGCGGGGGGGTTGCAAGCAAAGTCCATCACAACTTTTGAAAACCTAGAGCGCAGTTTTGTTCGCATCGCAATTACATATTTTGCTAAAAGACTTTAGCTCCATGATCTACCAGTTTCTGGAAAGACTTTAGCTTCATGATCTACCAGTTTCTCGATTTCGCCCATAGATTGAATTTTGGAGGAAGGTGACACAGTGTACACGACCATGACACATTTGCATTTGAAGTGTGACACAAGACCTTATCGCTTGACCATTTCGAAGTTTCATAAGAAGCATGCGTGGTTGAATCCTGTAGGATGTTTCAGAAACCAACTGTTTTCAGTGACGAAGACCGGTGGGTTCCTTCCTTATGTAGTTGAGAATCTTATAAAATCCCGGACATGGCACAATATTCAGCCAGCTATCTTCAAAAGACTGCATGTAAATAAAGCATCATTAGACAGGGTGCGAGGCAGTCTTCTGTGCAATGGAAATGCAGCTCGCTTGTAAGTTTGTGGTTGGTTTATACTATGCATTGTTGGGGAGAAACCAAAATAGGTTGAAGCAAAATCTCAGGCAGCAGTAACAGCTACTCGGGCAGCTAAAGCAGCGCAAGCCCACACACCAGCTGCGGAATCAGTCAACTCTGAGACAGAAGTGGTGTTGAGATGATAGAAGGGAGCAGCAACCCACAGGAGGGAACGCTTTGATGAAAAAAAATCACCAACAATATCTTCTTGCCAGCCTTCGAGGCTCTGTTGAGATTGCTAAAAGGCTCGAGCTGATCTAGACGTGTATCAGATGCAAAGCTTTGGGGAGGCTAAACGAGGAGCGTCGAAAGATGAAGGCTGAGGCGGAAGAGAAGTCGAGGAGAACCGATGAGAGAGCACAGTTGGACAGGTCGGTTGCCGTGGAGCCGCGCTCCAGAGTTTGACGGCGACGAGGAGGAGCATCGATGTTGAGGAGCCTATTCATACTCAAGAACCGAGGCCAGTCTTAGGTAATTCTTGCTTTGCTTTCCGTTTTCTCTGACTTATCTAATTCTATCATGTTTCAGAGGATTTTCTAGCATACGCTCCAATGACGGGTGACTTCTGGCTAAATGATGAGGGGCAACACGAACATATCTTCTAGGCAGCGTCAAGTGTGCAAGGCTCAAAGATTCACGCCCTGTTGATCGGAATTGTAATACAAGTACTTGATCTTGGATGTTTTTCGTACTCATCAAGAGGGGTCCGAGTTGAAGCAAGTTCATATGAAAGGTACGTTTTGTAGCATTAACTAGATACCTTGGTGATGTCCCTGCCGTGCGTGAACGACTCTGAACGTCTTTCCCGGAGAACTCATACAACAAATGTCCACGAGAACTCAGTCAACAAATGTCCACTTCGGAGTTTACCGTGATAGACGACCGTTTACATGGAGGTTTGTAAATGTAAGTCCACTTATCAAGCGGTTCGTGATGGCCAAAGCTCCTTGACAGTTTGGATTTATGGAACCCTGAGGATTGGGTGCATGGTGGAAAAATCACAGTTTACAGCGCGTTGTAAGTCTTCTCTGGAATGAAGAGTGACTGTAGTAAAATTCAACATCGCCTCGCATGTCATGAGCAGGATCAGTCCATGCATTCCCAAACTGTGGTATAAAAGCTGCTCTTTTGTGTTGTCCATTTCACAATATCTTACTGAGAATCCTTTCAGGTTGATGATGTTTACCATGGGCAATGTGGTCCAAATTTTTCATAAATGACCTACTTATGGCTTGATCACAGTGACTTGGTAGCATAACTTAGCAGAGCAGCTCTCCCCCAACAAGTACAACTCATTCCTTGAGTACTCTGGAAAGTTTCTAAACCACTCAAGCAGGAATTGGAGACTATTTGGAGGCTACACAAGAATTCTCATAAGGAAAGAAAGTTAATTTTCAAATCAGAGGTTGGTGTAAGGGAAACCAGTGCATGAGGAGACTTGCTTATAAAGGGCTTCAAATGTATAATAGGAATAATATTATGTAACTCTTTGTTGAGGGTGTTTTGCCATTATTTTGTGTTTGGCTTCAAAGCTTAAGCTTTATACCATATGAGTTGGTGAAGTATCTATAATTTTTACGTTAGACCATCAACTTTGTTTGGCTATATTTCACATATTAGTTTTGGGCATTAAAATGCTTTAAGACTATTCCAATATTGTTCCATACTTCTATTCTTTTACTTGTTTGTTATATGCTTGGAAGTTTAATTCCATTCCTTTATAGGTTAAGACTTTGAAACTTGAGTTCCACACTATTGCCTTTAACACAAGGGTTAAATTTCAATTTATATAAAAATAGAGGTTAACTCTAGGGTTTTAGTTATGGTGATGGTTATGTTATGGTAATTTTCCATAGGGTTTAGATATGCACTACATTTGGTGTTAATGTTTTGGCTTTATATTTAAGACTTGATCACAAAGATTATATTTTCATATATCCATATTGTACTATTACCTAAATGTATAGATGGGTTTATTATTGTAAGATTTTATCCATATTCTATATATTGTTACCTACATTGATACTTTTTTATTTTATAAGTATATGGCTTTATGACATGAGTTTGATGCTAAATTATATGAAGGCAGATTGAACAATGATAGTTAGTTGCTTTGTAACTAGTGATTGCTCATAATTTTAGTCAAGGATTATGCTTAGGTAAATGATTATTTAGCAGTGATGAGTCTGTTTGTCATATGGTACTACAAAGGATCATCTTGTTATTTGTGGTAATGAATTACATTGAGTTGTGGACATGAATATTCACTCTTTATTAATGTGTAACTAGGTATTATTGAAGGATTGGTTTCAAATACTAAATATAGTACTTTCAACTTTGGTTAGCTTGGTGTTGAGTAGTGATTTACTCTTATTATCTTTTAGCTTTATTTTAGTGTTGATGATATTAAAATAATGTCTTGATATTAATATTATTAGAGTTAAGATTAGAGTGAGATGAAATATTTTTCCATGGGCATATTAAGAAAGTTAAATTTTCCATCTGTGATGATTTAGATAGTTGGTGATCAATTGGGCTTTCTTTAAATATTGACATTTAGTTTTACTAGTATTAATAAAGATGATATTGATGATTTGGTTATATATTTATATTGTTAACATTTGTGCATTTTGCTAGTTTGCAACTATATTAATATTCAAAATGAATTGAGTGGCAAGTTGAGGTAACTATTGTTTGATTTGATTTGAGGGTATTGATTATTGATGATTTTAATAGCCTTTGATATTGTTGCGAATATGACTATGAATATCAAAAATTATCTATCAGTTAGTCGTTAAGAAGATTCCGTCACCAGCTTCGGTGCCTTGCCGAGCCTGGGACGTGCCGCCACGTCGCCCAGGCCTGGACCACGCCTTGTAACCTTCGGTCGATTAAAACGTTGATATGGTTTCACTCGATAATGATCGTCCCTCTTGCGAATATAATGGCATCATTCATTTTTGTTGTCCAACGAACTTAACGACGAAACAAACTTGGCGAGACTTTGTCACTCTGATTTGATCAATCCTTGGCTTTTAACTTTAAGCGTCCCTGGATTTACAAAAGAAATCACTCGAATCACTGTTGCTAGACTTGACACAAAGAGGTAGACAAAAAGGAAGAACTGCAATAGCCTACCTCTACCAATTTGGTTTGAAATCATGGATCGCCCAACCCAGAGATTCGTGGCCAGCCAAAAACTGTTTCTTCAAGCAAAAGCTGCGAGACTATCTTCCATGTTTAAGATCCATTTCTTTCCTGCGCAGAGAACTACTAGTAAGATTTTCTCTTTTGCTTGCTTCTTCCATACTTTTTCCATACCCCCAATGCCGTGAAAACTCTTCCTTTGTCACCAGGCATTAAAACTCGCGCTGGATGGCTCGCTGGCTGCGGCTTTTTATCTTCACTCCACTCCACAAGTAAGAAACTTTTCTCGTGGAGAGGAATCGATAGCTATGCGACGAGAAGAACTGTCTAGCCTGCAAGGACGCACAATGAGTCATCGTAAGGCACCAACGGAGGAGCGGCAGCACTGTACCAGATGCTAGAAAACTCCGCGTACCTGTTTGGTGGTCTCATTCGGAAGGGACGATGAACGCTATGGAACACACCTGGAAAAAGCTTACACAATACAGTCGAAACAAGAGAGACAAGAGAGTTTGAATCGAGAGCAAACCCACTCACACTCGAAACAGTGTGTTGCTTGGATCGAGAGTGGAGCAGCCACTGTTTCTCTAGGCCGCTGCACAGTTCTCTCCCAGGCAGCGGTCGATCTAGCACAACTTTTGAGCTGAAATGGCAGTAAGTTACCAGGCCAACCTTCGATATGTGCCAAGGGAACAAAGACACAAGAACGGCGAGAGCAAAAGAATGAAACAACAAAAGGAAAAGATGGAAGAAGAAAAAAAGATCTTACTACAAAAATGCTCCAGAGATTTCAGTCCTCCTTGACGGTGATCTGGGACTTTATTCTGGCCATCAATTTTGGGATCCCGGTGATGTGTCCTTTGACAGCTCTCTCGACGCAGTCTTTTGCATTCCTGGCGAGTTCGTCTTCCGTGAGAGCCGCAATGTCTCGCTGCTCGTCAAATTTGTCCCTGCAAACCAGTACACTTCGCTGGATCCGTTCCTGCACAGGAGAAGCAAACAAAAGTGTGAGAGAATAGTCGGACAAGAAAACTTTCGAATCCAAAAGTGTGAAAGAACCAACGACGTAAGTGAGGCACATCTAGCCTCACAAAAAAAAAAATCGAATGGCTTTTGCAATCGTTGTATGCCTGGAATGAGACGCAAGCACAAGGAGAACTCTTGCGAACGCCAATAACAGGCAAAAAGAAAAAGGAATCACACAAACACCCAAACAAAAACCAAAGAGAACAAAAAAAAAAGACAAAAGAAAACCCATACCTGGAAGCTCGAGAGCTCGTTGGAGATTATGTTCTGCGCTCTCTGCGGAGGAGCGCCGCATTGCTGGACGCACGGCTCAACCCGGGACACCGTCGTGTGCTCGTCGAAGCAGCGGTAGGCACATTTGTAGAAATTTCTCTGCGAACAGAAGAAAACGAGGATCAAATCGTAGAAATCCGGCAAGCCGCACCTGGAGCGTGAAGAAGACGTACTCATTCACCTCGCCCATCGCCTCCGTGAGCGCGTCATTGAGATCCCGCTGGAGGGTCTCCATGGCCTCCATCGCGGCTGGACCTAAACCCTAAACCCTAACTGGAATTTTAGTTTTCCTTTTAACAACCCTAAAGGATGCCCTTAGTCTTCAAGAAATGTTTAACGCCTCTCCACAGTGAAATGTAATCTTGTGTAACATTCTTCTCCTAGCATATGCCAGGTGCAGGCAAATACTCACAGCTCAAGAGCTTTTCTATATGATGCCCTACAAAAGTCTCGTTTCTTAGAAACACCATGATAAGAGAAGACTGGTTTTTACAAGTTATGTATGGAAGGCCTGCTCGCAACATATGTCTCATAGAGGTGTTGGAGGATTTGTTCTCTAAGTTAGTGACTCCGTGCCCTGCAACACAGTCCTAGCCGCTCTAGAATCTCTTTTTGAAGATCTGTCCACCCATTGTAAGCTGGACGTCAAGAAAATACCTCCGGAGAAGATACCACGATTTCCGTGAGAAAATGCCCACCTGGAACAGTGTCTCAAACCTTGCAACGCTTCATACTTTATGAACACGTTTGCTCTCCCGGAGATATGGAGCATGGCGGCGTGAACACGATGGCGAGCAGCTATGGCAACTCCGGCGACACTAGTGACTATCTTCCGCAAG